AGGTTCTCTTCTTTGAGGGACTCCAGCTCGTCTCTGTGATTGTTGAGTGTGGCTTCTAGGTCGTTGGCCCTCCGTTCTAGGTCGGAGGTGCGCTGGCCTAGCTCGCGGACCTCCCTGGAGAGGCATTTAGTGATTTGGTCAGAGGTCTGTTTGAGTGCCTTTTTTGTAGCATCCATTCGAATTGCCTCAGCAGGTCTGAGTGAAGAGAGGGTGGGCTGTGATGGAGACCGGGGTGTCTGCGTCCGAATCTGCATCCTCCCTGCTGATGGGGGGTGTCGGCTTGGGAGAGCAAGACATGCTCGTGTGTGAAGATGGCAGTGCCGCCATTTTGGAGGAGGCCCGCACTAGCACCTCTCGGATACTTTTCGGTTTAGGATTTTGTCTGGATCCTCTCAAGACAATTCTATGGGTTCCTGGGTGCTTACCGAGCATGTGGGAGGGTTGAGTTGCCATTGTGGTTGCCTACCTGCTGCTCCATACGGCTATGTGAGCGGTGGTGGAGTGGAGCTGTAAGCTGATATGTCTGGCTTAGGTGGCTCTGCACATGCGCCCCCCCAAGAAAGCTTTTTTTCATGCTGAGCTAATCAACATGATGAAAAAAAACAGAAAAGAAAATAGGTTACACACCTAAAAATACTAACCTCAAATACATATTTATTCGTGAAAGACATGCAAAGTAAAAACACATTGCATTGAGGACCTACTAATCACTCCCAACCATAAAAACCCCCTCCTCCAACATCACAACCACCTCTCAACAATCCCCCCAAAAACTAACCAAAACACCCCCCCAAAAGCCCTCCAAGGTACCCCAATGCTTCTCCCACAATAACCCGCCCACCTAACCACCCCCCTCCCAGAAAGGAAAGAAGGGAGCTGAGGTGTGACTCCTATAGCCCCCCTACTCCCCACACCCTGCTAGATCTAATATCCCATCTATCAACACACTATCTAGCAGGGCAATATATTATTCCTGTGCATAATGAGAGACTGCAGTCAAAAGGCCAATCTTAAATGCATAAACAATGTAGTAAACCGGTCAAGACCTGAAAGATACCAAATGTTAACTACTGGCCTCTAATGTCCAACCTGAATAATCAGGTCAGTAGTGCACTGAAAGATGTAAAACATGGTATGGCCAATCCAAAGGAAAAAAGAAAAAAATATTCTGTGATTTCCGGCAGAATGTGTCCACTATAAATCCATGAATGTACACTGTCAAATATTCCACATGCAGCCTGCAATAGTGGAAACAGGCTAATCACCAGGCATAAACGGACCACAGCACCCAGCAGAAATGAGCCTCCAGGAAAGAGTCTATTCTAGCCAGTGGAAATAGATGGAAAGATGTAATGCGAGTACCTGCTATAGCAGCTTCGATGTGTGTAACCAGTCCAGCCTGTGCAAGCCTGCACAGCTGATACGACCTAGATAGCAACACCAGGTCACCAGTACTCACTGTATAATGGCACCTCTAAGATCCTATAAGTCAAATCGCGGCTTGTAGTCCCAATATTGAGGCCATGTCCTGTAGAGGCTCCGCAAATGATCCAGTGGTGACTGCCGATCATGCCTCCGTGGAAGGGATGCCATATCCGTGCTGTAAGGTCCTGTGAAGACACCATGAGGTGTGAAGATAGCGTGCAGGGAATGGAGGGGGGGGGGGGGGGGGGGCGTGTGACCACGTTGACACATTTTGTCTCACCTACTCTCGAGACTTCTTCAGAGCGATTGGTTAGACAGGTTGTCAGTCAATACTTATATATCATCAGAGGTATCCACCCTCAAATCAGTTGGAGACCTGTCATCAACATATACAGGGAAGGTGGGAATAGGAAAATAGATCAGGGAGGGGAAAAAAGGGAAGCATATAAATGAATCTCATGACCATAGTACCATAAAAAGAGCTGTCCGCATCAGTTGAGCTCAATAGCTATATTCACAATTGCATCTTCTCTGGATAAATGACCATAATACATCTCAATTGTATTTGACCGGAGAAAGCTATCATATATGACACTATTTTCTGGGTGATACCTGACCGTATAAAGCAACGATACATGTTGTGTTATAGAGCATGAGGTCCTGTGAGCTAAAAATTGGACCATATAAACGGCCCAACACATCACTATAAATTCCAAAGTCTGAGAGGCACCTAACAGAACCCAACTGGCTCATAAGAAACACTGTAAGGACAGTTTGCTGTTGAGCCCTTTAGGGGTCATAGACTCCAGCAGAAAGATCCACATGGCCTCCTTCTGGAGCAGTATTTTTTCTCTATCTCCTCTTCTCTGATAGTTCTAATTTGTAAAACACAAGACATTTGAATCCCTGAGTGGATCCACCATATTCATCTCTAAAATGTATAGCTACTGGCAGGGGCAGACTGACAACTCATGGGGCCCCCGAGCAATAGGGGATCATGGGGCCCCTGTGTCCTTGCCCAAACTCAAAAAAGCCTATGAAAAAGGTATCAGGGGCATCTCATGGGGCCCCCTACTGACCCCGGGTCCTCGGGGCAGTGCCCAAGTTTCCAAATGGTCAGTCCGCCCCTGGCTACTGGTGGTTTATTATGAGTGGAAATACTAGTCAGATGTTCACCCATCTGTTTCCTAGATTACCTAGTCTTACCTATATAGATTTTTCCACATGGGCATATTATCTTATAAGCAACAAAGCTAGTGGAGCAGTTAACAAAAGAATGTATCTGATATTTCTGGGTTTTTATTACAATTCAAAAAAATCAAAATGATCACCGTTGAGAGTCAAATATCTTTGGGTGCCATTGAGATGGTGATTAGCTACAGTGAGGAACAGAAGTATTTGAACAACCTACGATTTTGTAAGTTCTCCAACTTAGAAATCATGGGGGGGTCTGAAATTCATATTGTAGGTGCATTCCCACTCTGAGAGACAGAATTAAAAAAAAAAATGCAGGAAATCATATTGTATGATTTTTAAAGAATTTATTTGTCTTGCACTGCTGAACATAAGTATTTGAACACCTGAGAAAATCAGTGTTAATATTTGGTACAGAAGCCTTTGTTTGCAATTACAGAGGTCAAACTTTTCCTGTAGTTCTTGACCAGGTTTGCACACACTGCAACAGGGATTTTGTCCCACTCCTCCACACAGATCTTCTCTAGATCTGTTAGGTTTCGGGGCTGACGCTGAGCAACACAGAGTTTCAGCTCCCTCCAAAGATGTTCTATTGGATTTAGGTCTGGAGACTGGCTAGGCTACTCAAAAACCTTGATATGCTTCTTACGGAGCCACTCCTTGGTTATCCTGGCTGTGTGCTTCGGGTGGTTGTCATGTTGGAAGACCCAGCCACGACCCATCTTCAATGCTCTGACTGAGGGAAAGAGGTTGTTGCTCAAAATCCCACAATAAATGGCCCCATTCATCCTCTCAATACAGTGCAGTCGTCCTGTCCCCTTTGCAGAAAAGCACCCCCAAAGCATGATGTTACCACCCCCATGCTTCACAGTAGGGATGGTGTTCTTGAGATGCAACTCATCCTTCTTTTTCCTCCAAACACGAGTGAAGTTTAGACCAAAAAGTTCTACTTTGGTCTCATCTGACCACATGACTTTCTCCCATGCCTCCTCTGGATCATCCAGATGGTCATTGGCAAACTTCAGACGGGCCTGGACATGTGATGAGCAGGGAAACCTTCCGTGCAATGCATGATTTGAAACCATGACGGTGTAGTGTTCTACCGACAGTGACCTTTGAAACTGTGGTTCCAGCTCTCTTCATGTCATTGACCAGCTCCTCCCTTGTAGTTCTGGGCTGATTCCTCACCTTTCTTATCAGAGATACCCCAGGAGGTGAGATCTTGCATGGAGCGCCGGGCCGAGGGAGACTGACAGTCGTCTTCAGCCTCTTCCATTTTCTAACAATTGCTCCAACAGTTGATCTATTTTCACCTAGCTGCTTGGCAATTGCCTCGTAGCCCTTTCCAGCCTTGTGGAGGTCCACAATTTTGCCTTTGGTGTCTTTTGACAGCTCTTTGGTCTTGCCCATGGTAGTAGTTGGCGTCTGACTGACTGCGGGGTGGACAGGTGTCTTTAAAGAGCTCAGACAGGTGCTACTAAGTTACATTAATGAGTGGAGTAGAGGTGGACGTTTTAAAAGCACAGTAACAGGTCTTTGAGAGCCAGAATTCTTTCTGTTTCTTAGGTGTTCAAATACTTATGTTCAGCAGTGCGATTTCCTGAATTTTTTTTTTTTTTAATTCTGTCTGAGTGGGAATGCACCTACAATGTGAATTTCAATGTGACCCCTCCGTGATTTCTAAGTGGGAGAACTTGCAAAATGCAAGGGTGTTCAAATACTGTACTTCTGTTCCTCACTGTACAACTGATTTGAGTTTACAAGTAATTTTTAGGCGGGGGTGATCGTTTTTCCAATTCAGTGATTCTGTGTTTTAATTTTTTTCTGACTTGCTGGTGTTATATCTTTCACTTAGATGTTGTAAGTTGAACAGTAAGTACAGCTGGATAAAACAAAAACTGTGCCTGTCTTCATTTCAGGCTGCAAAGCAGTGTGTGCTTATTTTATAGGGGGTGATTCTTTTCTATACCCACCGTATATTTATTTTTACTCTGTATCCCAAAAGCTGTTTGTTATATATTTTGAACATGTGACCAGCAACAGAACTAGAAGCTCCTCATGCTTATGTTTCCCTGCAGACAGGCTGGGAAAGGGCTGGGTCATGTGATAGCTGTATTATTGATTAGGAAGAAGGTACTTAGATGTTTTATTAAAATATTTATGGTGTCATTCATATATAGAAAGAAAATAGACTATATAATTAAAGTGTGTGTTTAGTATCACTTTAAGTTTTGCAATGATCCTTTTAAGAAATTTTTCAAATGGTATTTTATTTTCTAAATGGTGAACTATAGCAATATTTTTACAATCCTTAGGTAAGTGATTTTAAGTTTTTTCAGAGAGACAGTAATTTGGATAAGTATGTGATTTCTTTTTAACAGGCGAGAAACTTTTTGACATCGACAGTGGTAGAAATGCTCCCCTCCATGCGCCTCCATCACAGCACTATACCATTGTGTTCAACACATTTGTTATGATGCAGCTTTTTAACGAAATTAATGCCAGGAAGATTCATGGAGAAAGAAATGTGTTTGAAGGGATTTTTAACAATATCATATTCTGCAGCATTGTATTAGGTACTTTTGTAATACAGGTAAGCGCATGATGGGCATTTTCGTTGTTAAACTACAAACTATGCATTTCTTTATGTAATAAAGGTGCTGTCTACAAGTCTATAGAACATTCTCGTTTTATTTTTGAGATCCTCCTATTTCTGTTAGGCAACCCTGCAAGAAATATTCATTTGACCAGAGGTTACTTGTTTTATTTTCCTAAATCCTCCTTCCCAGTTTACTGTTTTATACTACTGGAGGAGAAATGGTGATGGAGAGAAGATCTGTAATTGTGTTCTTTCCTCAGTGATTTTACAAATTCCAGGATCCCAGGTAGCCTCTGTACTCTGTTTTTTAAAAAAAAAAAAAAAAAAAAAAAAATGCAGCTGATATCATATGAGTCTTATTTTTATAATTGGAAGTACTGAAACTTATCCCTGGCTCTAAATTTATCATGAATTTACATCTTTTCTCTTCCTTTTGCAATACCAGAGCTTGTATGAATATGTCTTGCATTTGCTGCTTTCCTACTATGTCTGTGTTTATTAGATAAGTAATTGTTTTACCCAATTTGTAGAAGTAATTTTTTATATTCAGTAATTAAACAATTTTTTTATTCCTTTTGTAGATCATAATTGTCCAGTTTGGTGGAAAACCTTTTAGTTGTACAGAATTGACAGTAGATCAGTGGCTTTGGTCTGTTTTCCTCGGTATGGGAACATTACTTTGGGGCCAGGTAAATTTATTCATTTTTGAAATTTTTTATATTATGTTGGAGCTAGGCAAGGCCTTCTCTGCCCAATCTAAAAAAACATTTTCTTGCCATATCAGTATGTGTTCTCCATAATCATGTTTTGTCCTCAGTATTTCTCTGATTACGTAATGTAATTGTGCACAGGTTTTATTTTAATATTAGATTCTTAATTTCTGACTTAAAAGAATGTCAAAGCATTAGAGGTACTGGCAGGTAATGTTTAATAGTGCACGTTGTATTAATTTTTACTTTAAGCATGCTTTAATTTTATTTTTTGTGTCCATTTATTCAGAATATTTCTTTTGATGTTTGCACATACAGTATGTATAAAAGATTAGAATTCAAGACCTGTGAAGTCATTTTTTTTTTTTTTTTTTTTTAAAGAATACTTTAGTGCGATAACTTGAGTAAAGCTCCTATTGCTAATTAAGTTTTCAGTTTTACTTAGACATATTTTTGCCTTTGTTTAGCTGGTAACCACAATACCAACGAGTCGTTTGAAGTTCCTCAAAGAGGCAGGTCATGGGACACAGAAGGATGAAATTCCAGAAGAAGAGCTTGCTGAAGATGTAGAGGAGATTGATCATGCAGAGAGGGAGTTGCGCCGTGGTCAGATCTTATGGTTTAGGGGCCTAAACAGAATTCAGACTCAGGTATGGTCTTGAATAAGGCAAGCACTTTATATGGGTTAAGGGAATATATTTAAAGTTGTAGCTCATCTGTTAGCGCTAAGTTTAGGTGGCTGGTTCAGAATGGTGTGCGTGAGCTCTCTACCTTCTTTGTATTTTCCCTCAATACGCTTGAAAGAATCTTAGTTTCTCTTGATCTTCTTTTAAGCTTTCTTCAATTTGCTTTTATTAGCTACTCTATAAAAGTGCCTTTCTCTTTTTTTTTTGCTTTTTTTTATTTGTTGTAGATGGGATGGTCCTTTCTCTTGTTCTCTCTCTCTCTTGCTGAGCAAGCTGTCACAATCTCTGATTCCTTGCAGATGGATGTAGTGAATGCTTTCCAAAGTGGAAGTTCCATTCAGGGGGCTTTAAGGCGGCAACCCTCCATCGCCAGCCAGCATCATGATGTAACAAATATTTCTACCCCTACACATGTAGTGTTTTCCTCCTCTACCGCTTCTACTACTGTGGGGTGTGAGTGTGTGTTCCTAAGTGCATGAAATTAACACATCCTAATCCACACACCTAACCTTTCTCATTTTCTCCTCAGTAATCTCATTGTTCAGGCTGTTCATAAAGCTTTCCCTTCACAAGGATAATACACCCTGTGTGTTTATTTTTAGAGGGCTAATGGACTGGTTTGATTATTAGCAAATGCAAGCTTAAAGTCTGATATCCTGCACGTTTAATTTATAGATCTTGCTTCATCAGTTATTTGTTTTATATTGATGTTCTTGTATATATTGAAGGTGGCAGTGTTGGTAAATTTTCGAGTATATGCCTAGTGTTGAGAATATTTGTTTTGGTTGTCTATATCTTTACATCCATGTCATACAGATTGTACTTTGTACTTTATACGCAGGTCTGTTTTAGGAATGGCTTTTTTGTTAGAAGTGTTTTGAACAGTGATAGATTTGACAACAAATGTATATTGATAAACATTTCTTAACACCATTCTAATTTAATTAGTTCCCCATACTTAAATATATTTTTCCTCTTGCAAGGAAAAAGTAGCACTGTAGCTTTTGGTGTTAGCAGGCAGACATTTACTTCTGTCATTAAAATCATAACTAAGATTTTTCATTCGAATTCATGAGTGGGGCACAGCAACAGCCAGTTTTTCTGTGGCTATCGAACATGAGTGGGGCACAGCAACAGCCAGTTTTTCTGTGGCTATCGAATTTGAGTAATCGGGCTTGTTGGAAAAATTTTTTGAAGAATTAAATTTCTAATCAGTCATGGGAGATTTGTTTGAAAAATATAATCGAAAAAGAAATGCGCATGAGCTGTTACCTGGAAAGAAGAGTGTTCCAGCCACTAACTTTCTTTTCTGTAGCAACATGAGGTGAAATTAAAAGCTTAGTTGAATTTTGAAATCAATGGTGGCACCTTGGATTAAAAAAACACACAATGTCCGATTTTCGCAAGAATATTCGGAACTTGATCCATGTATGGCCTGCATAAGTCAGTGTTTCCCAAAACTGGCCTTGTCTTACCAACAGAGCAGGATTTGCAGATAACTGCACACATGCACATGTGGCATAATTAATGTTTCATGCAACATGACTCAGATCCAGAGAGAACACGTAAATTAGCAAGCATCACTTGGAACTACTTGACTATTTATGGAAAAAAAAATGCAGGGATGCCTAATGTGCATAAGCGAGTCTTATATACTTTTTTTAACTACACAATAAAATCATAGAGCAAAGTCTGAGAAATAGAGAAATGATGTCCCATCCTCACTAAACCGAACTTCCTCCAGCCTACTAGCCATAAAAAGCAATAATAATTCTTGGTTCTATATATTCTCTGGTAAATTGATGCCTACAAAAGAAGTTTGTCCATGATCATAAGTGATGCAATCCAGTTGCCACAGTTAGGTTAACTCCAGAAGATCCGTTTTCATACAAATTTAATATTAATTTATACAAATACTTGGCACAAACTGATGAGACTCGGGAACAGTTTTTGAAAATGCTGCTGTAAGGAGAATAGCTACAATATGCTCCTGGAAAAAAAAACATTCATGTTCATGATGCTTTGTTGCATGCTGGAATATATTTTATTGACTTTCATAATTAAGTCTGGACTTGCCCAACACCCAGGTAGCTGATGCACCTGAATGACACATGAGGGCCTACATTTCTTGAGCCTTTCCTATAGTTGATAATTAAAGTAACTTTTTCCTGTCACTTTTGTTGCCTGGTGTTCTGCTAAATTTTAAAGCTGGACCAATCCTCAGGTACTTACAGTATACAGCGCTGTGTTCAGGCAGAGGGATGGGAACTATCATTCTACTCCAAGAACAAAATAAGCCAAGCACTGTTCAGCCATTCACTGGGAGCTTCATATTTTGTGAATGAATATAAAGCTTCCTCTGGCTGAGTCGGAGACCTCATCTGCCCACCTCTCTGCCTCAGCCAATTGGAGAAATTCATAAAATGCAAAGCTCAAAGTGAATGGCTGAATAATGCTCATCTCAACTAGATTTTGTTTTGGTAGTGGAGTGGGAAAGTTTCATCTCACCGCCGGAACACAGTGCTGTATACTGTAGTTATATACTATATATAGCCTTAACTTAACCATAGTTAAGGCTACATACAGTTTATACAGCGCTCCCAGCCGCTGCAACTGTTAGTGAAGGTAATAGTTCATTAGGACCAGCTTAGTCAAAATGAACTATTTAAATATCACTAAAAGCTGGAGATCAGCTTTAAGTATACAGCATTTTAAGAAAAGGTGTATCTTTAATGTCTTACGGACTAAAAAGCCAGACCCAAACATAAAATCTTGTGCCATGCATTTATCCCTCTAATTCTGCCATGCAGCTACCTCAAGTTTCCAAGTAAGATACATTTGCCACACATTATTTGTTCTAAGGTGATTTATTGTGCTCTTATTACGGTAGGATGATCCCTTGCCGGCTCCCATGTCCCAGCCCTTGTCAGCGCTTCCTCCTCTGCGCTGCAGCAACTTCTGGCTGACACAAGGGAGCCAGATCACGTGATTGGGACCAGAGCGGACTGAAAATGGGTAAGTATATACATAATTACACAGGTTAGTCAGCATAGGTGTTTTGAACATTTTTAAGACTAGTTAGTTTTAGGCTGAAAATTTACTGTTATAAAAGGACTACTCATTTTAGTTCTGAATATAGTTGCAGTACTAAATGGGCATTGTGTGTGATGTTCCCTCTGCAGTTATCAGCGTTTTAAATATTTTGCTTAGTCTAATGTGCAGTTTGATCTAGGCCAACAGTTTGTTTGCTCCTTTGGCTTACTACAGATGTCATTGTGCAAACAGCCTCTGTGACCAAGTAAATCTTTTTCAAAATCATATGCAGAGAATTTTTCAGAAATGTTGAGTTTGGCCCAAATTCAGCCAAAACTTGTTTTTGTTCTAGATAAACTGGAGAAAGGTTTGAACCACGATCAGGTTTTTGGTCACAGGTTCATATTGATGGGAAGTGTTTTCTAGCGATAGAAAGTGTAAAGGTTTGAACTACTGTGTTTTTTTTTTTTTTTTTTGTTTTAAGTTTGTAAAATGTCTAAGCAAATTTCTAACAGTGTCTTAAACTTTTTTTTTTCTTCATTGTACTCTTCGTATGCTGCTTAATTAGTATTTGGACCATCTAGCATATATGGGCATCTTACTTAGCCTAAAGTAAAGTTCTTTTGAACTGATGGCAATGATTTTGTAAGGGAATCAGTCAGTTTTGTAAAGTGAGTGTGTACAAACTATAAGTGTCTAATCTGGCAAAACAAGAGTTTGCCACCTTCTGTTCAGAATATACTGAACATTCTCATTGTGGGGATAACAGAACATTAAACTTATTGCTTCTAATGAATCATTGGCAATGGACACTGAGTCGTTTTAGACCTCCAGTGTATGTATACAGAAAAAACATATCTTTTTGCTATATACTGTACACGGTATATATGGATTTGTAAGGTTGCGTGAGGTTTAAAAGAAGGTTTTAGGTTGGTGACCCTGTCTCAGGCTTGACAAATAAAGACCTCTCTAAGACCTTTGCTTAAAGTGATTCTCCCTCCTCACTGGATATTGATAGTAGTGGGAGCCAATGGTTCCCACTGCTGTGTCTCAGCCAATAAGAGCGACCCGGAGAGACGCTGCTCTCGTGCACATTGCTGGACCGAGATCGGGCTCAGGTGATTGTTGAGGGGGCTGCACACTGAAGGTTTCTTACCTGCATGTATAGAATGCATGAAGGTAAAAAAAAACCTTCACCCTTTACAACCACTTTAAATACTTCCGTACTGGGCCAATTCTGACTTATCCACTACATGTAAAAATGGTGCTAAACTACGGTACCTAAAAAATCTCCATAGGCGACGCTCTAGAAGCCTTTACAGGTTACGGATTTAGAATTACACAGGAGGCCTGGCACTAGAATTCTTTCACTCTGACCTTTGCAACAATACCACACGTGTGAACACAGTTTACATATGCGTGTGAAACTTGCATATGCGTTCGCCTTTGTCCGGCGGGCGGGGGGTGGGTCGGGCTTTGGTAGTGCTTTAAATGTTTATCTTAATTTTGTTTATCACTTTTATTTCTATCACAAAGGATGAACAACATTCCTTTTGATAGCATGGGCAGTAACGGCTCCTCTTTACTGTAACATCTGGAGTCTATAAGACTCTAGATCTCTCTTCTGCCCTTAAAAGCATCTGTTCAAACCGTAATTGGTTTGATCGGATGATTTCACAAGCCAGTAATGGCTTGTTTTTTTTTTAATTCCTGGTGAAACCATTAGTGACAAAATGTTCATCATTTCTAGTTTCTTATACCTTAGAGATGATCAGGGATGTTACAGTCCTCAGTCATCTTTGTGGCAAGCTGGCAAAACTGCCGGCTTCACTCCTGGGTTCCCCGGTGAGACCAGAGAACAAGGAAAACCAGCAGGGTTGGGGACCCCCTCCCGCAGCATGTAAAAGCAATCCAGTGGCTATTTAGCTGCTGGATTGCTTTTACATTAAAGTGCATCACCGGCAGAAATGGATACTGGGATAATGCTTGTAGCTGCAGGCATCATCCGGTATCCCCACTGAGAGTTCAGGATGTCATGCAGTTGGGAAGTGGTTAAACACGAAAATAGTCTCAGTACTGCAATGGCAAATTGTGCATTATTATAGGAGTGGTGTAAAAAACTAAGAATTCAAAACCGACCATTGCTTTCAGAAGGTCTTGGTTCTGTCATGTAGAATAACAGTTAGTGCTGCCCATGGTATCTAAACAGATTCCCACATACTGCTATGGTTTTCTATGTGAACAAGGAAAAAAAAACACATTTTTCTTTTGAACACTAGTTGAATGTCACTTGTAGTGCTCATGAGTTATGCTTCCATTTTTTTTTTTTTTTTTTTTTTTTTTTTTTTTTTTTGCTTTTGTTGCTTCTAGTTATACAAATCATAAGCAGATTTCCAATGATTTGGTATATACTCGAATATTTACACTCGTA